CAGGGCTGCAGGCTGATTGATGGGGGTGGGGGGGCGGGGGTTGGTCCCTGAGGGCCAAGTTCACAGGCCCTGCTCTCCTGACCTGGGAGGAGTGAGGCCGTACTACACCACCCAGCAAGGCAGGGCTTACAGCAGGTGCGGTAAGGGGGCGGGTGGCAATGTGGCGGGAGAGACAGGGTCGGGGATCACATCCAACAGGTAGGCCAGGGACAGGTGCCTGGAGAGAGACCGGGACAGGGTCTACAGACTCGGAGAATGCAAAGACTGCAGAGGGATGTATGAGAACAGAGGGGAGAGACAGACCCCCAGAGAGACAGAGGGACACCGATGGAGAGACAGGGTGCAGGTGCATGCTGGAAACAGACACAGGTGAGACACGCAACTGAATCAGAGAATGTCCTGGAGAACAGCATGGGGTCCTGGGACGCTTTCTGTCTCACCTGCGCCCCCATCCTCCCCACCTCCCCTGCCCCTGGAGCCCCAGTTCAGGGCTGAGGAGGCGGTGGGGCAGTGCCAGCCTTGGAGACCCCAGAGGTAGGGCCATAGGGGGCCTCCCACACTGAGCAGGATTTGGGCCATCGCTGAAGCAGAGGGGTTGGAGGTCAGGCAGTAGAAGGGAACTGCCAGGGCGTGTGGGGGCATTTCCAAGGTCAAGGGCATCGGAACATCAGAAGCTCTTAAAACCACAGCTGGAAAAGCTGGGCAGGTAAGGTAAGGTGAGGGGTTCTGGGAACAGGTTAGGACCTGGAGGGGAATATTCCGGGAGAGTGTGGGACAGAGGACTGGATAGCTTTTCATTGATCTGGAAGGGGAGCTGAAGCCAGTCATTGGGACCCCTCCAGGTGACCTGGCCCTGGTTGGTGAGGAGGGGGCTTGTACCCTCATTGCCAGTTTCACGGCCTAAGAGCCCCCCCACTGGCTCCTCTTTGCTCCCACGCAGATGAGCGCGCACACACACACACACACACACACACACAAGGCCCCGCCCCCTCTCTCTAGCTGTTGGATTCCATTGTCAGTAATGGTGCCCCCTCCACCCCAGTGAGGCCCACGCCCCACCCTGTTAATTACCTCCTGCGGGTGCCAAGTCCATTAGCGCCCCCCCCCCCCCGCCCTACACACCAGGGGCTGAGCACCAGCTGAGGCGGATGCCAGCAGGGGGATCAATGGAATGGGACCCCGAGGACCCCGCGGGGAGCTGGGACAGGGACAGCAACCTGGGGCTGCGGGGGTCAGACATCTGGGGCCCCTAGACCTACTGTGAGCCCCTCCCACCACCCCTCCCTCTCAGAAAAAGGCTGTGTCCGCTGGAAGACAGAGGCTCAGAAATGGTGGTGGGCTCGCTCTGCGAGAACATTGAGAAAAGCACCCAGAACTTTCCTCTAAAGGAAGCTGCTGCCAGCCTCCGCTCTCGGCTCTGGAGAGAGGGAGTCAGTGATACAGAAGCCAGTGGGGGTCCCCCGGGGCCACCCCAGTGCGGGGATGGGCTCTCCAAAGAGCCCAGGGATCCAAGCCGTCCGACCCCCTCCGCCTCCCGAGGCAGCCTCGGCCTCCTTCCTGCACTGCCCCTCGGGGGGCCGGATTCCTG